TGGTAAACACTCAATAAATGTTAGCTCTTATTTGCATCAGGAAGAAGTAGGACAGAAAGTCAGAGAAGTCAATTGTGGAAAAATTAAGGAGTCAGATAACTGGTTAAGAGCTTCGATTACGAGTGTTTGGGTAGGGGGTCAATCACATGCAGAAAGAAGACATTGTCAGCAACAGCAATGGGCAAGGGGTCAGGGCACAATGGAGCTGGTTCCAGCTCCTCCTCTCAGTAGTGTTATCACTCTGAGCAAATCCCATGACTCCACTGGGGGTCTGTTGTCTGCCTGGTGTCTAAGGTCCCTTCCAAATTCTACATTGCAAAGTGATGCAGACTTGGAAGAGAAGGCTGTGACTGCTTGGTGATTTCCTGAGTAGAGGGAGCAGATGAAGGGAGACACCAGAGAAGATTCCAGGGTTTGAGCCAGGAAGGATAAGTCAAGAAGAGGAGCAGGTTTGGAGGAAAGAACGATGACCTTAGTTTGGACATACTGAGTTTAAGATGACAGTAACACATCTCAATGGAAATAAATGTCCAGGAGATGGTAGGAATGTGGATCTTGATTCTGGGAACCATTTGCGGGACAGTAGTTGGAAGCTGAGAATGGACGCCACCAAATCTTCAATGTGACTCCTCTGAGGTCCTATGGCCCAGAATGTGATCCTGATGGTGGGGAGAAACGTTGGTGAAAAGACAGGATGCTGGAACCAACAGAAATGGAAATTTGTGGCTGCCCCTTAAAGGTGTGGGGATCAGCACACAGGGAGACTTGAAGGATATGGTCCTAGGAGATCCTAATTTCAAAGGAGCTGTCAGTGGAAGGTTGCAGCGTTGTCCCTGGTCTCCACATCAGTTCTAGGCTCTGGCCCTGGCAGGAAGCCACTTCCTCTCCAGGTTGCCCTGGCTGCTGCTGTGGGTTTTCTTTCTCTGCTCTTTCCCCTCTTCTTTCCCTTTAGGGGGCCTCCGGCAACCTGAAAAGTCATCCCAGCCATTTTGTTACTGCCTAGTTGTTACCCATTCCTTCGCCTGCCCTCTTAGGTTTAAAAATCTGTTGTATTTTAAGTGTGTCAAGTCAAAAATGTTGGCTTTGAAATACAATTGGAGTAGGCTGCATTTCATTTAGTCCTGTAATTAGGAGCCAAGACCTAGAGGCTGACATGAATATTTGTGAGATTTCAAATGAGATCTGGGTTCACTGGGGAAGCCTGAGGTGCTGGGCAAGCAGGCTGCAATGGAGACTAGGCTTAGAGAGAATGCAGTGGTGGTATTGGCAGGTAGCCACAAATTTCCAAAGCAATTGGCAAGAGAATTCCTGAGACCCAAAAAGGCTAAGTCCCTGGAGCACTAGTACAAGATCTATTTTATAGCCTCTCCAAAACAGGGGATTTCCAAGGGTCTAGTGCCAGTGGGAAATCTTGGCTGTACTAGGCAACTAACTCATTCACTCAACCATCACCGACTGAGCAATGAGCTCAGGTGCCCGGGGGCACCAGCAGTAAGGAGCATTTTATGTCTAACGCCCTCTGTCAGAGGATGGAATATTGGTAGGAAGAAAAGGGAAATTATATGAATTGGGCCTTCAGTCATGCAAACCCAGATGGTAATTCAAGCTTGCAGAGACTCTTGAGCAAAGGTCCACTCCTGCTCAAATGCACACATTTTCCTTTTCCTTCCAACCCCTCCCACAGGGACAGTACTTTAGGAACCAACCTCCTTGGACTCAGGGCCCAGTCCCCTTTTCCCAGGTCAGGTTGCTTTTTCACTCCTGAACCTAATCCTGACCTCATGTCTTCTCCTTGACAATGTCACACTAATCACAGAGATTAGGCTCCACACGTGTCCCTGTCCCCCCCTCATCCTCTCTCTCCCCCAATTCCCCCCAGGATGAGGCTTGCCTGTCTCACTTCCCACATACTTCTCCACCCAAGCTTTGTTCAAGCTTTGTTAATTCTTAACTGAGTCTAGTTTAGTCCTGGAGACCATTTTTAATCTCAGTTCCTCCAGGCACTAGGCCAAATGACCCATTCAAGGCTGATAAAGACTGGCTGACCTAGGCACAGGAAGTTCTGGGACCTAGGCACAGGAAGTTCTGGGAGGTGAAGGACGTTTCAGGATGGTTCCAAAACAAATCCTGTTCCTCTTGTCCCTGACCTTAGGACAACCTGTTGAGTCCACAGTCTGTCGGGGAGTACGGAACAGAGAAAAGAGGACAAAGTGACACTGTCTCTAACCAGTTGTAGAACGTTGGTCAAATCAATTACTGCTGGGCCTCAGTTTCTTTCTTTATAAAATGATCTTGAAGGCCCCCTTCAGCTATAACAGTCTAGGGTACTTCATACCTGGGTCAGTTGGTTTCGGGACAACCTAGGAAATCTGAAGCACTTCCAAGGCCTTCCCTCATGTCATTTGCAGCCTAGAAATCTACTTTCCAGGGTCTAGTATTAGAGGTGTAGTTCTGTTTCAACAGCAAATCTAAGTGTCTGGTTGGACTTGGATCTGCTTCAAATTTCTGTGAGACACGAAGCACAATGTGTGTAATCCTTTAAGACCTAGACCCTCATTTTCCCAGAGCAGAGCTGGGAACAGACTGCTGGCTGAGGGACACATGAGGAAGACATGAGGGAGTCTGGGGATTCACCATCTAGAGGGGACATGGGCTTGGGATTCCAAATTTTGGGGAAATACTGGGTGGGGGCTGGGGGGTGAGGTGGGGGAGGCCAGGGGACTACAGACTGCTGAAGGCTGAGACTGAGCTTCAGGCACTGGGCTGGGGCATGGAAGACAAACTGCTGACGGTTCCGGGGCAGGGAAGCCCATTCTGGGCTAGTGCACCCCTAGCTCACGGTGCACACAGGCGGCAAGTTGGTCCCCCGACCCAGCTGTTCCAGCCCCATAGCAGCTCCTGTAGTTTTTTTTGGCTCAGAGAAGCAGAGGCGTCCCCTGAGCCCTGGCCCCCCTCTACCGCAAAGCAACTGGCTTCCATTACCCCTGACAGCTCCAGAGGAACAGCCCAGCCCCTGGCCCCAGCCTGGCTCAGTGCCGTTCCCTTTTATGGTGAAGCTGAGGGAAAGCAAGGAGTGAGCGGGGAGTAGGTTATGGCTGGGCAGAGGGTTGTAGAGCCCCAGAGTGCCTCTCCCCTCACCAGAGACCCTCGGACATCTACCCACAGTCATCTTTCTTCTTTCTCCTCGGTACCACACCCAGATCCGAAACCACGACCCCTCTTGCTTGTCCCAGTCCCTCCCCTCCCTCACATCCGGGGGGTGATTTCCCACTTGGCCCAGGTCCCACGGTTTGGGTTTTGATTCCGGGAGGGTCCGCCCAATTTCCGACGCCCACCTCCGGGGGTGGGGTGGAGGGAGGGAGCCCGGGTAAGGCAGGCACCAGTCAGATCACAGGCGGGATCGTTCTACTTGGCGGGTGTCGGGCAGAAAGGCTGGCGCCGAGGAGAGGAGCGCCCGGCCGCCCTAGCCCTGTCCCCATTCTGCACTGCCTCTCACCCCCTCCCCGCCGCTCCGGCCAGGGAGGCGACCCTGAGGGCAGGGCCCAGAGGAAGCACCTGGCTGGGCCGGGTCGGGAAGCGAAGGGTGGGCAGCAGCGCAGAGGGCCGGGGCAGGAAGAGGGGTCGGAGTCTAGGGGTCACGCCGAGCCTCCCGCCCGGTCCCGCACCCTCGCCCTAGCCCACTCTGCGGCTCCCGGGAGGCGGCCACAACGCTGCTAACCGCGTACGCGGCCGCGCCAGCTGCGGCCAGCTGCGCCTAGCCCGCCCCCCACGGCGGGCCTTGCCACCGCAGCCCCGCCCGAGACCCCGCCCCTTACGAGCGCGCGGCGGGGAGCAGGCGAGACGGCGCGGCTAGAGAGCCCGTTCCGGCCGAGCCGCACGGCCGGAAGTGCCTGGTTTGGGCCTGAGCTGGCCCTACAAACTTCCGGCCCAGGTCTCCTACCTCGAGCTGGTGCGCAGACCGTGGCGGAGCTGAGCCCAGCTGATCAGGTGAGAGGCACGCAGGCGCGGTCCACGGCCCACCCGGCAGTGGCTGGACCAGCGGGGCGAGGACCAGTCTCGGTCTGGGCGAGCAGGGCGCCGGCCCGAGGCTCAGTCCCTCCTCTTCTCTGCAGGATGATCACAGACGTACAGCTCGCCATCTTCGCCAACATGCTGGGCGTGTCGCTCTTCCTGCTTGTCGTTCTCTATCACTACGTGGCCGTCAACAATCCCAAGAAGCAGGAATGAAAGTGGCGCTTTCTCCGCCCCAGGTAACGGTCCGGGGCTGTAGCGCCCAGTCCCCGGACAGTGCAGTGGCGAGGCCGCGCCAGGGCCTGCAGGGTCAAAACTTCAAATCAGAAAGTGTCGGGCCAAGCATGATACAGTCCAGAACTGGGCCCCTTTATCCGCACAAAGTAGGGAGTGCCTTGCCTCCTCCCCCTTAGACTGCTGCCTGCTAGAATGGGGGTGGGTTTCCTAAATCCTCTTAGGTCCATCTTCATGTGGTGCCCAGATGCCCAAGTCCGGGATGTGGGTACAAGGAGGCACTGACACCGGTAGGAATAAAGTACTGAGGATGTCATCCAAGTATCAGGATTTGGGCTATCCACTTAAATAGTCTTCACTTTTCCGAGGTTGTTTAGGCTTTTATTTAGGCAGAATTTTTCTTGTGAGGGGTTGTAAAGATACAGAATTCTATTTCCACGTTCCGGGGCAAGGGGCACTGATTTAGGGGTTGGCTACTGTAGACCCAAGTCATAGAGAAAAAAGGGGTGGGGGTTGAAGGGCTTGGAAACCAACCTTAAGGGTGGGTCAAAAATGTAAAGGGGGAGCAGGCTGGATGGGAGTTGATTCCTGAAGGATTTCCCCTGAGGAAAGCTGCAGCATTTTCCTTACCTCAGGTCTTTCCCCCTCTTTTCTAGGGTTCCAGGACATAGTCTGAGGCAAGATGGAGGGTGTGAGGGGCCTTCACACTTCACTTCATCCCTTCTACCCATCACAACATACAAAGCAACTACACCTGGATTTTTCCAAACAACTTTTATTTCCTCAAAGTCTTCCTTAACCCTATGGAACAAGAAGCTGCCACTGAGTAGGGCCCAGCACAGGGGCTGCTTTCTTTTCTACTCCCTCCCCCCAGTATAAAAATATAGATTTTTCTTTTTGTGGTCCCAAAATCTTGTGCTGTGGAGGGAGGGAAGGGGTGGCAGGTCCCTGCTTTGTCCTTTCTCAAGGTGATGCTCTGCGATGCCTCAGAACAGTGTGGTTGGCATTCCAAGGAGTTATGGTTGTCACATGGAATCAGCAGCTGAAGGAGGGGACTAGCACATTTCTCACTGTGTTCCCCATCTTGGGGTTATATCCTGGGCATGAAGGTCAAGGCATCAGACCCGGGGAGAAACAGTGAGGGGGGAGATTTAGGGACAAAACAAACCTCAGGATGGCCCAGGGGCCCCCCGCTGTAACAAATCCAGGACTGGGAGTTAGAGAGACTACAGGAAATAGGAAAAAAGGCAGGGGCAGAGCGGGGCCGTGGGGGCCCAGCCTGAGGCAGCCTGCAACAGAGAAGAGAGAGGAGTTGGGGTTGTGCAAACTCTGCCCCTCTTCTGGTCTGTCAGCCAGGGGCTGGGAGATGAGAGGTGAGATGGGTAAGGATAGGAAGCTTGAGTACTGCACAAGTCTGATGGTGGAACCAGCCAGCTCCCAGACCTTAGGCCCTAACTAGAAGTTGTTTTCTTGCCTATTGGAGTGAAGACTGAGGCCATGATGGGGGAAAAAAATCAGGGACTAGATTCTTAATGAAAGTACATTTAGTCTTTTTGGGTCAAAGGAAGTAGGGAAGGAAGAAAATGATCCTGAATGGCAGAAATGGGAATGAGGGGATAGAAGTGAGAGGTAGGGTGAGGGACTGGACCTCGGTGCTCACCCTGGTGCAGAGCAGGGTCCCGGCTCCAGCTTACTGCTCTCCCTGGTCCAGGGGATAGGGGATGTGGGGCCTGAAGAGCCTCTCATCCCTCTGCAAGTCGGCGGTGAGCCCTGGCCCAACCTGGGCCTAGCCTGTGTGAATAGGGGGTGGGCTAAGAGGCTGGATTCTTCCATGAACCTTTTTGCTTCCACAGTTTCCATACATAAGAGGGTATTATAGGTGTCAACACAGGTACTGGGACCTTGAATTCCCTGAGCACTGTCCCCAGCTGAGAGAGTAAGGCAGAATAATAGCTAGAGAACTCTTGGTTTCAGTCTATGACTGTACACTCCAAGTCTTACTTAATTAAAGGAGGCAAAAGGATCCAGCATTTAATCTCCATGGTTATACCATGGCCAAGATCTGGCTGAGGAGAGAAGCACTGTGTGGAAAGATGCTGGAGGATTGGGAGATTTCCCTCAGAGCCTTCTGTGCCTCAGCCCCTGTCAGAGCAGCTTAAGCTTCACCCATCCAGTCATCTTCTGCCTGTACCCAACTTCAGCCAACCTAGCATAGGGATCTGGACTGAATCAGGGTTGGTGGCATAGCTGTTCCTAGGAGCAGCAACCAGATGTGTTACCTGGGGAATCCGGGACCCCTCCTGGCAGGAACTCTCCTCAGGCAGGTCTGGGCAGAAAGAGAGGAGAAGCTAAGGGCAGGGCAGGAAAAGCCAAAGCTAGCAGGCTGAGGTTGGGGTATATCTGGCAGGGACACGGGTTGGAAGCAAGCAAGAGACCTGGCTGAAGGGGATCGGGGACACTGGGCAGACAGGGACTCAGGCACCAGAGCAGCTCTCATATAGTTGGGGGGAGAGATTGTAAAGCAGTGCTGGGCATTTTTCCTCCCACTACCCAGATGAACAGTGCCTTGTTGGGCTCTGCCAGAGTTGTTATGCCGGGGACTAGGCAAGACCCAAAAATGTTACCTGCAGTCGGGTCCTGAAACAGGGACTGCGAGGTCCAGTCCCTAGCAGACCTTTCCCAATCACCATGACAGCCTCAGGCTTGTCCCCTGAGGATAAGAGTGAGCAACTGCTCCCTAGGGAACAAAGGACACTGGTATCAGGGTAGGGGCCATGGAGAAGAGGAGGTAGCTTCCTTTTTAAAATCAGGGTTTCTTGGTATTGGCAATATTGACATTTTGGGCTGGATAATTCTTTGTTGTGGGAGGGCTGTCTTGTGCACTATAGGATGTTTAGCAGCACCTTGGCCTCTACCCACTAGATGGCGTTTTTTCCCGTCCCCTCCCCATTGTAACAACCAAAAATGTCTCCAGGCATTGCCAAATGTCCCCTGATGGGCAAAATCGCCCCTGGTTGAGAAACGCAGCATGCTCTGCTCTGGTCCCAGGGGTGGAGCAGCAACTTGGACCTTGAATCAGAACCCACTCAAGCTGAAGTACTCTGAATTGATGGAGCTCAGAGCTATCCCAATCAAATGTGTAAGCATTTAAGGATTAAGTCAGCAGTACCAAGACTGGTGGATTGAGGGCTACCCACTGAAGAGAGTTAACAGGTTGGGAGTAGTGGGCTCTGAGGGAGGTAGAAGATGTTGGACTGGAGTCTTAGAAATCAATCTCATCCAGTCCTTTACACAGCTAGGTCTATAACTTAAAAGGGGAGCAGACGGCCTAGGTTTTATGTGGATGATATGGTCACACAACATTTGTACTGATGACAGGTAAAGGCCTATGCTTTTCATTCTTCAATTTTGTCTAATGTTTCCCAGCTCCTACAGTCAGGGAGCCTAAATAAGTAGCAGACAGGAAAAGTCCTCAGGTTTATCAACTATAAAAATGAGGATTAGGGGCCGGCTGGTGGCACAGCGGTTAAATGCCCGCGCTCCGCTTCGTTCAGATCCTGGGCGCGCACCGATGCGCCGCTTGTCAAGCCATGCCGTGGCGGCATCCCACATAAAGCAGAGGAAGATGGGCATGGATGTTAGCCCAGGGCCGATCTTCCTCAGCAAAAAAAAAAAAAGGATTAAATGAGATAATGTGCTTAGAGCAGTGCCTGCCACATAGTAAATGCTCAATAAATGGTAACATTTTATTAAACAAAGGCATTCATTAAATTCCAGCTTTCTGTACAAGGGCATGGGTGTTGGGCTTTAGGACAATCCAGGAGGATAACTGATGATGCCCCTGGTCTGGAGTGGTCTGTAATACATCAAGTCAAGAAGGAAGTCCAGGTCAGGTGGCAGCAGAGCTGAAGGGATTTCTTCAAGCCTAGTTGGGAGCCTGGGCTGCGCCCTGGGTGGTAGGGAAGGAAGGAGGTTGGCCAACCCAGATTTCAGTGGCCGCAGGTACAGACCTGATATGCTGAGTGAGTTGGGCAGTAGGCAGGAGCCCATGTTGCGTGAGGAGGCTGGGCTAGAACTAGCAGGAGTTGGGGATGGGGCCAGGCTGCTTGAAGTAGGGCGATGGGTCAGTGGCTGTTGCCGCCGTCTCCTGTCCTGGCTTCGGGGCTCTGAGTGGAAGGGACACAAGCAGATAAAAGGGCAAATGAGTGAGGCACAGTCACTCCACTGCCCTGCGGGCTCTCCTTGGTCAGGAGATTCCTGTTTTCAAGCTTGTCATCACACCAGCATCCCTCTTCTGAAGTAAATCTAAGATGGGTAGAAAGACCTCTAATATTTATTCCAGTTATCTGATTCTCAGCCAGCCCTCATCCTACTTCACCTCTCTGTACCTAACCAACCCACTCACCCACCAGTTCATTCTTCTGGCAAAGAAGTTATTGAGCTTGGTTTCTAAAACAGCTTTCCTAAGTTCTCCTCTTACCTCTAACTACTCCTCTTCCACTACTCCTCCTGCCCCTTAAATGTCAGAGTCCCCACCACTCTGTCCTTGGCCCTCTCCTGCTCTCCATACTCTAAACTCCCAAATCTGCCTCCTGCCCTTTCTTCCTGAACTGCAGTTCTCATTGTCTGCTGGACATTTCTACCTGGCAGTCTCTCATGACCCAAAAAAACTCATTTCCTCCCACCTTCCTTTTGTTCTCCCTGTCTTGGTGAAGGATCTGCTAGAAACCCTGTTTCATCTTTCGACTCCTCCCTCACATTTAGATTTATGTTTAACCAAATCTGGACTATTCTACCTCTGCCTTCACTTGAATTCCTCCTTTATTCTCCCTTGCCATTGCCGGTGTCCAGATACAGGTCTTGATCTCTCATTCAGGCTTTTGAAAAATATTCCCCATTGATCTCCCTAGTGGAATCTTTTTCCTTTTACAAGCCATCCTTCACACAGATGCCAGAAATTATTATTCTAAAACAGAGACCTGATCAAAAATCATTTTGGCTCAGGCAAGGGGGAGGTACTGAAGGTCTTTTAAAGGATAAAGTCTAATCCTTTTAATGTGGCCTTCAAAGCCCCGCCCACTGTCGTTCCAGTCTACACATCCTTATTAGGATGCCAACTTGACCCTCCCAACTTCACACCCTCTGCTATAGCCCCTGTGGCTTCTAGCTGTGTGGTTCCTCTGCAGTGTCTCTTTCTTCTAGTGAAACCTTGGTCATCTTACATGTCCCATCTCAAACATCACCTCTTTGAAGCCTCTTTGACCATTATAGGTAGAATTAATTGTTCTCCCTTCCTTCATTGTCCTTTGTTCACTTGGCTAGTAATTGTTTATGGTTTCTGACTCCTTAATTAAATAAGTTAGTACATGCAAAGTACCTGTAACAGTGCCTGGCACACAGTAAGTACTTCATAAATGTTAGCTAATATTCTAAGTGGGACTTAAGTCTCTTGAGGGTAGGGACCTTGTCTTCTCCAATACAATAGACCCCAGTGCCTATAAAATACTGCATAGAAAACCTGAGACCTTAATAAACGTTTTGTTTACCTGAATAGCAGACACCCACTACAGACCATGAGCTGGTTCACTAATGTCTATCTAAGGGCATATGGTTATAACCTGTGGGGGCAGCTCTCTCTGGCCCATTCCTTGTGGCTAGAGCCTCGATGCTGCATGTTCTGAAAGGTGGGTCCCAGTGGGGTAAAAGGGACTAGATGGGGTAGGGAGGCTTTCCGGTTTGGCGGGTCCTTATCACAGAGGGATAGCAGGTGCCAAATGCTCTCAAACCAAATGAGCTATTAACCTTCATGGAGCTGAATTCAATGGAGGTTCCAGGATGCCAGTTGACTCCTAACAAAGCAACATGTGTTACATGTGAAAAGCCTCTAACTGAGGAAGTAGGTGACAATAACTTCGTCTTGTCTAGCTACACTGAGCAGTAGCCAGCAGTAACAGGGCTACTTCTGGAAGGTCCCAAACCAAACTTTAAAAAATTGATACTTACATGAATATGGTTAGAAGAAAGGGAGAGATCTAAGGATGGAAGCTACTCTAGCTTTGAGGAGTTTGCTGAGATGCTGGGTACCAATAGAGTCTAAGACCATAGCAAAAATTCAAAAACAACCAGACCTTAGGGGGCTAGTAAGAGTTGGCATAGCAATGCCAGAAGACAACAGAAGTCAGAGACTCATGGCCACAATCAAATAACCTGAAACATTACCCACCACCAATGACTTAGAGATACTGTAGAGCCCAGACTTGGGTAATTCTTTGGTTAAAACAGGGATGTCAGGATGCTGTCCAAGTGACAGTGCACAGTATGCAGAAATAATTTGATAAAGGGAGAAATAGGTTGCCAGATGATATGAGAAACATCTGTACACAGAGGCACACTGAAACCATGTTAAAGGATGAATCTTCACCCCACTCCAGGAAATGATAAGGGAGAACAAGTAAGAAAGCAAATGAAAGCCTTTGGGACATTTGTAGGTTCTAGTGAGAAACTGAGTGACACTCAAGAAGGTATGAAGCGGGCCAGCTCTGGCGTAGTGGCTAAGTTCACACACTCTGCTTTGGTGGTCTGAGGTTCACAGGTTCGAATCTTGGGCACAGACCTATGCACCACTCATCAAGCCATGCTGTGGTGGCATCCCACATACAAAATAGAGGAGGATGGGCACAGATGTTAACTCAGAGCCAATCTTCCTCACCAAAAAAATAAACTAATTAAAAGTTTTGAAAAAAAGAAGGTATGAAGCAAAACAGGCAAATGATGCAAAAACGGTCAATGTGAAATGTAGGAAGCATGGGACAGATACTAAGGATACAACCCAGGAATCCTGCCCCTAAAGAGAGTTTCAGGATAGGAGACAAGGTCTGGTTTAGGAGAGAGGCCTGACCTAGAAAGTATAAGGCATTTAAAGATGGCATTTCAGTCACTTAAAGACCGTCTTAAGATCTGGCCAGGCTTGCCTGTAAATTTGGTGATATGAGCATACAGCTCAGTTTTTCACATTGACTTTTGGCCGCTGGTAGAATCCAGGCCTACTCAGTCCCCAGTGAGACAAGAATTAAATGGATTATTATATCTTGGTTCTGAGCTACAGAAACAGTGGCTTAAGGCTGAGTGCAAGAGTGATATGTGATCAGCTCTGCTTCCAGAGGTTACAAGATGATGTTTGATTGTAATCAGCCATAGGTACCATTTTGGGAGTGGCCTGGGGCAAAGGTCTGAGTGTAGAGCCAGGCGGACCTCACCACTGTATGAGTTAGAGTGAATATACTAAGGCCTCACAATTTAGAGGAGCAGTTATGTGACTTGTGCCTAGATCTTGCAACACCCTCCCAAAACATTTTTGGAACTGTCCCTACATATAACACCCAGATCTTACTGAATCCCTAGGATGATCACAGACCTGATTTCTGCCCTCTGAGGGGTGGAAAGGTGAGAAAAGCATTCATTCAGCTCTGAACTTCTTGCCTTTTATGAATTCAGTACCTATTTGCTGATGATTTAGTAAGTGCCAGGCACCGTGCTAGGTGCTAAGGGAATAAATGTGTTAGGAGACATTTCTTGCCATCAAATAAGTGTTAATCTGCTATTTAACATGCAACTGGTTTGCAGTGGAAAAATTAAACATGGTGATGGTGCTGGATTTACTCTTCGTATGTCCTGAGACTCACTACTCAGAGGAACCTCCACTCACCACTGGACTTGAGCTGCTCTACCAAAAGCTGCCTGTCAGCTGAGCCAAGGCACTGCAGAGGCCAGGAAAGAGTTCTGGTAACCTCAGGTTTAAGTGCCAGAGCTGGGAGGGATGCCAGTGGCGGTGGTAGGACAATAGCTGAAGGCTCCCACCTTTACACTTAAGTCCCTTGTCCTTTATACCAGCATCTCACTGGATAGGCTGGAGGGCCAGGAGGTATGTTTCTGGTATTGAGTGAAACCTGCTTGAATCTAGCGCCAGGACCAGCAGGAAGCGAGTGATGCCCCTAGGGTACGCAATTTAAGGAGGCCCTCACCTGACCCTGAGAGGGAGTGCCTTCTTAAATTGTGTGTCCTGGGCGCCTCACTGGCCTCAGCCTAGTCCTTGCCCTGCTTTCATCAGGAGAGAACCCACAGAAGGAGAAGCTGGTTTACTTATCCGCCCTTTCCCCAGTAGGCCCTCCTTTGAGCTCTGTTTGCATCTGCTTTTGCAGTTGTGTCGCACACTTCTGACTCCCTCACTCCGTCATTGTATTAGCTATTCCCCAGTGATCTCTCCTTCCTCCTCCGCAGCTGCTGATAGTGCTGTCTGCGCTTCTGAACCCAGTTGACAGGAACCTGACCACAAGCCTGGGAAGGCGGTGCTCAGGGCCTGTTTTGCAGAGGTAAAGAAGATCCTGGCACTATGCTCAGGGGGTGCTGGGAGTCAAGACTTAGAGGCTCCTCCAGCCTCTTGCCCCAGGAACATTCCTGTTCACCCCAAGTTGGCTACTTTTTTGGCCTTTTAAAATGTCATCACCCAGTGTCAGAGGACAGAACCTATCAGACTAGTTCCCTGAACCTCTGCCTTAAGCTTCCAGCTGGGCTGTCTAGATCTGTTCTGAAGTTTTCTGGATAGCCTAAGCTCATGTTTTGTTCTAGCCAACAAGGGATAGTCATTAATTAAATGTATAGTTAAATGTGACATAATTTTAATACATTAGTGGAAGTTTTCTTATAAGTTTACAAGTGAAAAAAAAAATCCTCTGTCAAATCACAATCCCAGTTTTAGGTTTGTAAAGTATAGCTGCTTTATAGTTAGGTCTCAGAGATACGGGGGTCGTGTTCTTCCTATCTCGGAAGATGAAGTATGCCTAGATGTGGCAGGGGCCAAAGAGTTAGATGTGTGGAACCAGGAAATGTCACAAAGTTACAGCACAGGACAGATGACTCTAAACAAAAAAACGAAAAAACAAAAAAAGTTTTTCCAAGAGTTGTTTGAAGATGCGAAATCCAATTACCACAGTCTGCATGATAGATCCCTGTCCCAAGCAGGGCCAGTCTCCCATCTTGGAGTCATATCAGGGACTTAAAGTCCCTGATGAAGTCCCTGATGAAGCAGCAAAAATTGTAGCACCAGCAAATGCCCAGGAGAACATAGGGGTCAAGATTCCCGGGATCTGACATTTCAACTCCTTACAGTATTCCTGTTTGATATTATTAGTGACCCTCTTCTTAACCCCTTGATTTTAGAGACATAGTTTCTTAGTTCTTAAAAATATTTATCCAAGTCCCTGGGGTGTCTCTGTACTCAAAACAGCTCTCTTTTTCTGCTTCTAAGCTCATTCAACTGGGGGAACATAGCTTCTCACTTGGCTGTACCTGAACCTGTATGTGGATGACTCCTAGATCCAACCCTGATGTCACCTTTTCTACAGGGTGGCCCTTTTTCTGCCTACAGGAGAACTGCATATAGATAGCCCATGACATCCAAGCATCTCTAAAATAGATAAACTCATCACTTTTTCTTTCAACAATGTCAATGTCACTATGATGTTTTCCTTTAGCTTGTAGCCTTGAAACTCTCTTAGTTCATTTCTCTTCCACCATCACTGAATCCTGCCATTTCCATTTCTAATATGTTTATTCATCTCTCCTTTTCAGACCCTGGTACAGGCACTAGTCATCTCATGTAAAAACTACTGCAAGAATCTCACCTTCCCTTCCCTGCCTTATATATACAGTTCCCAGACAGCTCTCTTAAATAAGTCTTTTGTTCCCATCATGCTCAGAAGCACAGTCGGGGCCATATGTCTCATTAACTCATAATCTTTGTTTTCAGGACATTTCAACTTCTTCCTCCCACCTCCTTCCACCTGATCTCCGTGGTGAAGGGCTTGGCCCTTTGAGCCAGCTAGTACACTTGCTTTTTGTCCTCTCTATGCAGCAGCTCTGGTCCTATCATTCCCACCTCGGGAATGTTTCTGTCAAACCACACACACTCATTCTTCAAAACCATTTCTCAATGGAATATTCTTTGGTTAATTACTCTGGTGTTTATCTATGACAGTGGCTCCGCAAGTCCCCTGTTTGTTTATAATATGTGTGCTTTTATGTTGTGTTTACTGTCCTGTGTCCCCTATTAAGTTTCAAGTCAATCGACCAGGAATTACTTTGTACTGACTATGCCTATTTTCTATTAGTTATTTGGGATAGTAACAAAGAAACAGAATACATGTCCCTCACTCAAGGAGCTTAATACAGCACTCTGCTTGTGAGTGGGGGTAGGGAAGATGTTAATAAAATATTGACTAAAAACTTCCTAGAATCTTCCAGTGAGGACCTAGAAAAGGCTCTTTACTATTTCCCTTTCATAGTCAGGGAAGGAGAATTTGTGATGCTGATATTCCTTCCCAGAAACTATGAGTTAAGAGGAAAAGAAATTAGAGGAAGGAAAAGTTTACCAGATATAAGTTGGGAAACTCAAGTATACTGAAGGATGAAAAGACGTAAGTTTGAATAACTCTGCCACTTAATATAATAGCTTTGCAGTCTTGGACAATTCACCCTTAAACAGCCTCAGTTTCTTCATCAGAAAAATGGAAATACCATCCATCCTGTGCACAGGGTCCTTGTGAGGATTAAATGAAATATATATGTGATACCGTTTTGTTCACTGTTTTATACTATTTAAATATAAGGCATTGTTACTTTAATACTCTCCTTCAAACACAGTGTGCAAAAGTGTCCTTTCCTGATGAACACAGAATCTCAAAGAATGGAGCTTAGAATATAAGCAGAGATAACTACGTTGCATATCAGGGATAGAACATCTTACTGGTCAAAGCTGGTAAGGACCATTGTTCTCTCCTCTGTGGCTACTCTAACCAGTACAGTCAGATTTCCATAGCCACTGACCCAGTGCATGTTTCTGGTCTGCACCAAAAGCTTTGTTGCAAGCTGAGTAGCAGGAAGTACGAACAAGGATGAGTGCAGCTTGAAGACCAGCAAAGTGCTTAGTTCCAGTTTACAACCCTCCATACTCTGGCACAATTTCGGTAGCCCAGAAGCCACATACAATATTGATTTGTGGTTTAGTGTATTTCCAGAAGTGGCAACGTAACAATTTCTCCCCATGACAATCTGGGTCACTCCCAAGGAATGGCTCCGTAGTCCCTTCTGCTTCTTTTTCCCTGAAGACCCATCTGTTTCTAGTATACGTTTTGACTCACAATCTCTTGTCTTATCAGGCAGGGTCTCATCAGGCCAAACCTAGGGGTACTGATGCACAGTTGAGCAACTGTGGCCACTGATGCAGAGGCCAGACTGTTGCTTTGGAAGCCTAGAACAGAAAGCTGTCTATAGTTGTTCCATTTTCCTTTGGAAAAGTTAGAATCCTTCTGCCATCACTTTCTGAATAGGCTCTGAAGCCGGAACAATTTTAGCCCCTAGAGACCTTGGAGAGGATTCTCCATCCTACAGTGCTCCCATTTGGATTGTGAGGAATTTCCTTATACTGGCCCGACAAGACAGACCAACCCTGTCCTTGATGTGGAGGCTCCAGGTCTCAGTGTGGCCCTGCTTTGGCTAGTGTTGCGTCCTTGGAAACCCCCCTGCCTCCCAGAATGTGCCGAAGCCCAGAGACCCAGAACTCCCGCCTGTGTCACACACAGTACTGCTCTGGAGCTCATGCCGCAGGGAACACCAAGGTCGCAGGAGAGGCTGAAGATTCTGCTATAAACTAACTTTATTGAGTCACCCCTTTGTCCCAGGCCAAGTGTATATCTTCAAGCTCTCACTTCCCCCAGCAATGCCCCAAACAACTGAACACCTGTTGCAGGGGCTCCCAGACTAGCTTACCTCTGACAGGGCCCAGCACCCGGTGGCTGACCTTTTGGGTGCTAGAGCCCAGGCCTGGCAGCCCTGCAGGCCGACTGCCATGAAAAGGAAAGCTGGGGGAGTTCTTCATCTGTGGAGAATTTTGTTGGCTGCTGCTGCTACCACCAGCACTTGTGCCAGTGCTAAAACTTCGGGCGCGGCTCAAGGTATTTTCAGAGCAGGAGACAGGCAATCCACTGCAAAGAAGCAGATGCCAGTTAACTCTGGGCCAGGGAGGTTGTGTCCCAAGTCCTTCCCCATGATTTGATGCTCAGTAGAGCTTCACCTCTGAGGTCAAAAGGCATAGGGACTCATTCCAAGGAAGAAGGGAGGAATCTGCGCACATGGATGAGGTGTCTAACCTGGGGCATACCAGCTGACCTTGGAATGCCAAGGAGCCCTTGTTCACACATACATGCTCCTGCAGAAAATACACTAAGAGCCATAAGGGCTGTCCCCGGGCAGCTTTAACTCCCAGGGAATTCCCCCCATATTGCCTTGGTGCCAGCCCCTGGGCCCCTCAATCGGTCACTCACAACCACTGGAAGCTGAGACCTGCCCCCACCTACATGCCCACCCCAATTATATTTGATTTTATGGAGGGCTCTGGAGCCGGGAGTCTCCTAGCCTGATTTTCAGATAGCTAGGAAGTATGTAGCTCCAGGTAAAAGGGAAGAGGATCCCATTCCCAGAAAATGAACTATTCTTACTAATTTTAATTTACCCTGAAAATATTCACCATGTGGTCCTTTTGGAAGTAGAGAAGGAACACAAATCCCTCGGAACTCCTCACTCCAGAGCCCTGTTTCACCTTCATACCCTTTCTCCCCTCCACTCTGCTGGTCTTACTTGTTACTTTTGGGTGGAGTTTGAGAGCCTCTCTTCTTGTTGACACCCACATTCGCAGTGCTGCTCAGGCCTCGGCTGCTGCGCACATGTTTTAGCATCCAGGCCCGGAGGTTCGTGAGGCTGCTGTGCTCTGACAGCACAATTCGGGGCCATGGATTGCATTCTGCCATGTCCAGAGCTGCAATGGCCATAGCGCGTCCCACCTGTGGGGGAGCCCGGGTTGGCTGAGTGTCTTGGGTCTTCCCACCCAGGCTACTGTGTTGGGGTGGGGTGCACAGCACAGTGGAAGGAAAGGAGAGGCCAGGCTTCAAATTTTCTCAATGGGTACCCCAACTTTTGTGCCCAGGCTATTTATCACAAGTGGATTTAGAGCTGTTCCCTAAACCCCTGCCCATTTTGAGGCCTTCACCCATTATGCAGAGGTGGGTGTGCTTTCTTGACTGGCGCCAGGATGGAGTTCTCCCAGCAGGAGAAGGCATCTGGATCTCTTCTACAACCCACAGCTCGTTCTACTCCTCATGTGCCCTAGGACACCGGGGATCATCAAGACCACTGTAGAGGGGGTGCTTTTAGCCCAGGAGTGAACAAACCCAACAGGAGGAGGAGACAAGCTCAGAGGCAAAGAACCTGACTCTGACTCAGATGTGCTAGCAGATTCTCTGTGGCGAGGGGTTAGAAATAGTGCCTGTTCATCCTCTCAACACCATTTTAGTCAGCAGCCTGTGCCTGTTGGCTGAGGAAAATAACCACAGTGGTGAGCTGGCAGCAGTGGGGAACCTCTGTTCAGAGGACCTTAAGAGTCAGGCGACAGGAGTGAAGGCCTTTCCAGACTTTGAGGTTCCCCTTTTCCCCACTAACCCCATGTATTCATACCTGCTCAAACAGTTCCACAGTGTATCTGGAGGGGAAAGCCGGCGGGGGAGGGGGGCTGGCACGCCCGTTGTCATGGCAGGCGGCAGGGATGCTGTTTACCGAGCGTCCAGTGTTGTAGTTGCATTCAAGTGTGTAGCTAAGACACAGAAATCTTTATTAGTGTCCTGCCTGGACAGAATCAGGACAGAACCATGGGAGACAGCCTAGGTGGTCTAAGAAGGTAATCACTTGGAAAAAAGTAGACACAAATAGAAAGTGCTAATCCCCAGCAACTAGCAACTGACCTCGGCATTTTACCATATATCCAAGAAGTCCCAAAGATAGAGTCCTGGACTAAAGACAGTAACACTAATTGTGAGTCTGTCTTTTGAGAAGATCTAGGTGGTCCCCTGCCCCTCAAACACCCTAGACTGGGTAGTTTTCTTTAGGGAAACTATTTCATCAACTATAGCCTAGTTTCCACCCAACCTGTGGATTATCCCTGAGGCTTTGTAGATTGCAACCCGGCCGCTTCCCTCCTTAGACTGGCCATCTCTGCGGTCTCGGGCATACATGTTCTTCTCTGAGAAATTGCAGCCCTGGAAGTCAAAGTGGGCTGAGTTCAAGGAGATGAGCTTTGGATACAGCATATTTTCCACCTGTTTGGGGAGGAAATAGGCAACTCAGAAGGAGAGACAGAGAGAAAGAAAGGACCAGGGCAAAGAAGAGATGGCAAGCATGGGGCCATGTGACGATACATGGCAGATACCTTCACAACCATCAGCAGTAGTCAGAGCTTAACTCTCACTGAATGTTTGACATTATTTCTAGGTGTAGGAAAGGTACAAGTCTCCCTCTTTTTAAGCTCTTAGCTTCTTCTCTCCAATAATGCAAAATTTTCCTTCTCCCCTGGTTTCCCAAACTCTAGAAAAGACTATGATGCTGACGGCTTGACTCTCTTTCAAAGGTCATGATGACGACTGAGACATAAGGGGCCCCAGTGCCATCCCTTGTTGGCCCTTTGAGGCTCATTCAGAAGTATTCTAGCTCTTGCAGCCACAGGCCTTCCTGCCTGAAGGCCACCTTCTCTCTGTTCATGGCCTAACCTTTTTGTAAGACTTCCCACACTCATATGACATTCTGCAATTCCTACCTGGGTGCTCTCATCACTAAAGCTGTTTCCATACATGAAGCAGCCCCTTTTGGAAGCATGTCCATGCAGATCCACATAGTAGGCAACACCACTCTCTCTGGGTGGGATGGTGTCAGGGGCTGGCTGCTCAACCTCAGGGGACTGTTGTGGCATAATCCACACCCTGTTGGGCTTCTGTTCTGCTGGCTCAGTCTGTGTCCACACCTTAGGGTTATCCCTGTCAGATGCATGCCCAAGGTGACCTTCATTTTGGAGATTGTTAGCTTTCTCAAGATCAGAGAGGGGAGCATCAGGAGGGAGATGAGGACTGTGCTGGTGCTCAGAGGGACTCTGGAAGTTCAGCCGGGAGTGCACGTGGTGGTAAAGAAGCACAGCTTTAGCCCCGTAGATGGCCGGGTGCAGAACCGCATCAGGCTTCAGGTACTGCCGGTTCAGGTTCACTCCACGAGAGTCTGTGCTGTAGGGAAACAAGGACGGAAGCAGGGTCTAGAGGGCTGGAGACACCAGAGTCGATGAAAAAGAGAGTGACTTATAAAATGAGAGGCTGAAGTTGCATTAGGAAAGAAAGAATTGACAACAGGCCCTCTCCTTGACTTGCTGTCACCCCTACCGTAGAAACCTAAGGATAGCTCCCTCTACCCAGATGGACCTGCAGTTATTCTAGCTCTGCTCCTTCTAGGGAGTGCCACTAGAGGGGATCACATTCCTTCTTGGGTCACTGGACAATTAGACGGGCTTGCCCTTGTTAGGGTGCAAGAGGACTGGGAACACAGGAGAAGTCAGGTGAGAGGCTGATAGTATTTCAGTGAGATCCACGGCATGAGGAGGATGGAGACAATCCAGACAGGCTGGGGAGCTTCTTACCGGTAGTGGCCCCGGACCACACCATCAGGGTTCAACATAGGAATCAGCTTAAAGACAAAGAGACGACGTAGGGTTTGGGCCCGGGGGTCATCAGGTCGAAGGATGAAGTCCAGAAAGCCATTGAAGACAAAGCTAGATGGTGTCTCCCCAGGGTGAACCCTACTGCTTAGAAAGAATATCTGGGTGGAGAGGAGAGCAGTCATTAGGTCAGTTACTCCATAGTTCCACTCTAACAGTAGATGGGCGGGGCGGGGTGGTGGTGGTGCGGGGGGCCAATGAGGTGGGACTAGCCACTGGATTTCCAGATGGCTGAATTTGCGAGTGGAGTAGGAGCTGTCACACTTGCCTCAGAATGCAGGCTGAGGCTGTGTCCAAGATGCCTAGAGATAGCATGGCCTTAAGCTACTAACAGTGCCTGGAGCTAAGGAAAGGCCAAGGTACTACCTTTATGCTATTCCCACTCACCCTCTTGCCTGTGAAACAGAATGGTCGGGGGGTGCCGGTATCAGGAAACAGCTGCTCGAGACGGGGCTCTCGATCTTCTCGAAGCCCATGGCAGGAACTGATTGTTAGCAGATCCACACGAAGTCCATCCAGAGAATAGCAAAGGATCTCCCGGTGGTAATAGATGGTATCCCGGGGGCTGTAGGGATAAAAATTATTAAGGGAGAAGTCTCTGAAGACCTAGCAAGAGGTGGGCCTTGCCCAGGATTTGGAGGATCTGGTCCTTCACCCTAACCTTTGGGGTCTTACAGTCTTACAGTCCCTCACAGTCTTAAATGAGGCTGAGGATTTGGGTGGGTCTGCATTGCCAGAATGCAGAGTACAGGACAAGATGACCTTACTGTTTTTTACCCAGTTTATGGCTCCCTAGTATAGATTACTTTGCATAGACAGAGAGAGTTGCCCTCTGTTGGGACAGAAAAAAAGGTGTGCTGAACAAAGGCAGTGCTGGCTAAATTCTGGATAATTGATGGGAGCTGGGATATTGAGGTCTGACCTGGGCAGGTGGATGAGTGGAGTGTAGGTGGTGGTATGCTGAGATCAAGGTCACATAGAAACATATTTGTCAGGGCCGGCCCTGTGGCTTGGTGGTTAAGTGCGCGCGCTGCAATGCTGGTGGCCCGGGTTCGGATCCCGGGTGCGCATCGAGGCACCACTTCTCCGTCCATCCTGAGGCCAAGTCCCACATACAGCAACTAGAAGGATGTGCAGCTATGACATACAACTATCTACTGGGGCTTTGGGGGGAAAAATTAAATAAATAAAATCTTTAAAAAAGAAACATATTTGTCAAAGGTACCCAAAGTCCCACATTCTGCACAGAGAAAAGAACTGATGAAGTTTTGGTTCAGGGCTCTTAGGGCAAGTTCCAGAAGCAGCAGAGGTACTGTCTGGTCCAAGATTGTGTGGCAGGAGTAAGAACGGTGTTGGCACCTGCTATGGGTAGGGTGGTTCTCCAGAAAGCGTTGGTCTAGCTGGTTTAGCAAATCCTGGCAGTCATGGTAGGAGAAGGGGTAGCAGAAGGCGAAGAAGGTGGTGGCCCCACGGCCCTCCACGAAACGGTGAACAAACGACAACACAAACTGCGTCTCTGTCATCTGAGGAGGAAGAAGAGGGAGGGTGACATGCCATCAGTGTCAGAGCTAAAAGCCTACTGGGCTCACCAGGAACTGACCTCATACCGTCATCACTTTGAGATGACCAACTTCCCTCCCTCTAAGACTTTCCCTATGACAGCCAGCTTCTCCTAGGTTTCCTGAGGCAGGGGCTTATCATGGACTCCAGCTAGTGCTGGAGGGAAAGCTGGTGGCACCAATGCTGCCTGCCTAGTCCTCTGTATCGAGGGTAACTCCTCTTTCCTGTCCCTCCTCTATGCTTAGCACCCAAGTCTTTCTTTTCTCCTCAAGGAGAACTTACCTCAAAGGTGGGCCGGTCTCGAATGCGTTCCCAGCGTGGCCGGGTGGGCAGTGTGCGCACAAAGGGGGCCATGCCCTGGGAATACAGCTTGCTTTGCTTGTTCATGTTCATAATGTTGATCTTGATGAGTTTCCCTGGAGTTCCTCCCCGGACACTGAAGTAGAACCATGACCTGAGGGCCAGAGTAGGAGAGACAGGTCATTACATATGGGAGGGTTGGAGCAAGGCAAAACTGTGAAAAGGCTATTTAGTAAGGAGAGAAGGAAGGAGAGAGGGAGGGTGGGTAGGGAGAGGAAGGGCAGTGTGCTGGTATGAACTGTAAGTCAAAGGGCTAACTGAAGAATGGACTTGGGGACGGGACATCCCCTCTCTTTTCCTTCTTCCACCCTCCACTACTTTCCTCTTACCTGTTCCCATTCTCAAATTCCGTTTCAGCACAGTCTGGTCGGGTCCACACGTTGAACTCGTAGTCAGGGGAAGAGGCAATGCTGCTGGTCGGGGCTGATGCCCCACCTGCCACTCCTTCCCCATCATTAGACACAGATTCCACCTTCTCCACGTGGGCTAGGTTCCCTGAATCAAAGCGAGAACTGAACAGCAATCCCCCACAGCGCAGCTCCATGGTGGGGCTGGGAAAGCATCCTCCTGCCCCACTCTGGCCCTGAGAGCTGGGGAAAAGTGGGAGGTGGGGTAGGGAGGAGAGGGAAGAAAAATGAGAATCAGTTTTTTTGGGTATCTCTGGATAAATGAGAGCTACTCTTAGGGAATGCCCTAAGAAGCAAGAGGCTCTCTCCCCCTTAGAAGGTAGAAGTGGCCTTCCAGCAAAGGTCAAGAGAAAGCAGTATTCTGTCCCCACAGTAAGGGTTATAAGTGACCTAAAAGGACCCCATTTTACTACAGCTTGCCTATTCCAAAATGAAATACTCAGTGGCTTAACTATGTTGAAATATTGGACTCTAAGCTTCTTTGCAGCCCAAAGATTAGAGAATATACTGAGGTCAGATTGGCCAAACCTAGCCCAGATACACCCACCACCACACACGGCCATCGGCCATCTTGAAAAATGGGCCATTCAGGAATTTTAGTTCCTCGATTGGCTGCCCACTCTCCAGCAGAGCAGAGCGGAGAGAACCATGTTTCTAAGTTTAAATGGGCAGCTTCCTCTCTCCACTCCTCTGTCCTCACAAGTACTGACCAGGCAGTCTTCTTTTGCTCCCCTGAGCCCTGGAAAGGCTGGTTCTTTCTTTTTTGTCATACCTTATGCCTATTACGGAAGACAACTAGAAAAGTGTGGCCTTTGCCCAGCCAAAGGCAACTGGGCAGAAGCCACCTGCTCACCTAGAGACTGCAGCTCAATTCCAGTTAGGGCACGGGTCTGTCCCCACCCCGCTCCCGCCCTGTAAGCACTGGAGCCCCTGAAAAAGCTACCCTGGTAGCTGTGGGTGAGTAATGGGTGTTCTAATCACCCCTAAAAAAAGTGGCTGGTAGAGACCCACTTGGGGGCCGGAGGGTGGCTTCTCGACTTTCCACTCTGAAGGACCCTCACACTGACGAGCTTGCCCTGGGCAGGGTGGGGTTTGGAGGCATGGCGTGGGTCGAGACAGACTCACACTCGAGGGAGGTCAGGAAGGCAGGGAGCAGGGGTCAGAGGTGAGGCCACAGGAGTGGGGGCAGGGCGGGAAAGCCCGGGCTGAGGGGCAGGGTGGGCCAGCCGGGCCTGGCCCTGGGGCGGGGTGGGATTCCAGAGGGGCTCCGGGCTGAAAGGGGCTGAGAAGGGGGCGGGGCCGGCGAGGCCCGCACTCCACGCAAAGCCCCTCACCTCTCTCCGGGCCGGTGATCCCGCTCCCTCTCCCGCTAGCGAGGCGCCACCTCGGGCCCCGGCACCCGGCCCTCCACCCAGGACCCAAACAAAACCCGAGCGCCGAACGCCGCGGTGCCGGGACCCCGCTCTGCCAGGAAACAACAAGTCTCTCGCCTATTGGCCGCGGGTACAGCTGGCTACCCGCCCAGTAAAGCTCGCTGCCATTGGTCAGCACGGAGGGGTTCCCTCGCACGTTAGCGGCTAGCTGAGCCAGTGCGGTTTAGGGGCTTGGCTGGCGGGCCGGGCTAGGGGGTTCCACCCGTGTTGTCTCAGAAGACGGTTAACGGCCTGCCGGCCGGGAGGAGAAAAAGACAAAGTGACCAAGAAGTAAACTGGAAAAATTCACCTGCAAAATAAAAGGATAACGTGTGAAGCTAATCATTGCTTGCCATGCTCCTCTGTGTATTACAGAACACTCACCCAGTTCAGCAGATTCTCGGCTGTTTAGGGATCGTGTAATGCGTGGGGCAAAAAAAACCGAGTGGAGGATGCGGGCATCGATCCCGCTACCTCTCGCATGCTAAGCGAGCGCTCTACCATTTGAGCTAATCCCCCAGCTGCTCCTGATTTCCTTCCCTTTGCCTTACAGGTTGTTCTGGGCAGTCCGCTGACCAGCGGACCAACCGCAATTCAGGACATTTATTCAGCACTTGAGTACAGTGGGACCAGGGGCAGGATTTTTAAAAGCAGGCATATAATAACTACACTTAAGCAATAGTAATAAAACCCTATTTAAAAACACATAGCATCTTGGTATCTAACCCACAAGAGAGCTGTATTGTACCTGACTACTTATTGCAGATGTGTTTAACCGAACATCGGTAGTGCTCAAGCATATTCTCTGAGTAAACCTTTCTCCCCATGGGGTAATTAAGAGAGGGCTAAAAATATTGCACGAAGTCCTTCGAGCCGGAATCGAACCAGCGACCTAAGGATTGCCACGGCTTATCCACTACAGTCCTCCGCTCTACCAACTGAGCTATCGAAGGCCTCGCTGGCTCTGGTTCCTACCGATTCCCCTCTAATGCTGACAGAGGCCGCACTCCGCCAAGACCTGAGAGGCTTTTGGTGAGCCTCGCTCCCCACTTTTTAAAGACGCTCGCCCCGGCCGAGCTCTTCTAGGCCGCACAAAACAGAGGAAGCGGGCGACAGAAGTGCGAGCAAAGGACTCTGCCGCAGGACCCACTTCCTAACCCTGGACGAAGGGAACAGGGGCAATACACTTCCCTTCCGTTTCCCTACTTTTAAAAAACAATACAACCCGCCCCATCCCCCCACTCCTTGGCGGCTTCTATAGGATTGCGGACGCTTAGAGATCCGGCCCACAACCCGGACCTTCTGGGCAGCATTTCCCCGGCGGGGCGGGTACGCACACGTGCTCTACAATTGCAAGGCGCAAGCCGGGCTTGCAAAGCCGATGGCTTACTTTTGCTATTTCGACTCCACATTTCCCTTCGGTTTCTCCGGGGGCGCCAATGAAATCCTACTGCTCTTCTGATGTGAAGGATATTCATTCAGTTTTGTCAGAATCTGTTCGTCCTGACTAGAGCAGAAAAAATACAAACCACAGAGCTGCTCGAAGCGAGCAGGAGGCCCAGGATCCGGCGGCGCCGAAACCCGGCGATTCACGACTGGCCGGCGGGGCCTGAGCAGGGCCACGCCCTTCCACCGGGCCCTGCCCCTATCCCGCTCACATCTTTACCTCTCTTTCCAGGGGCCTGGAATGCTGGCCCACAATCCTTTGCCCACCAGAAGCTCTCCGGGTTTTAAAACAAAGAAACAAACCTAAAACCCATCTCGTCTGTGAAACCTTGCTTCATAGTCTGGCGAGGTGGGCGTGCAGGGAGACCTGGCCTCCGTTTCCACCTCTGCGGCCAACTGCTTGTGCTACCTGGAGTCACAATCGCCCTGGGCAAATCCAGGTCAGGTGATGGTTTCGAGCCCCTCGCGGTTCCGGCATTTTATGGGTACTCTCAGGCTGCGCTTTCAATCCGAGGTCTCTGATGTCAAGCACAACACGACTTTACGCCCATCCACAAAGCGGGAGGTTAACATCTTGGTTTAACTTCACTCTGCTGCTGCTAATGCTACCACTGTGTCCAAGAGCGGCAGTTTGGGATAGTTTTCTTGGCACGGCATTTAGCGCGCGCTCTCTCTCTCTGTCTTGAGGGGAGGGGGGCGGGGAAGCAGAATATGTTTAATTATGTTGCTTTTTTTTTTTGAGGCGAAATTCACATAACATACAATTAACCATTTTAAAGTATGAACAATTCACTGGCATTTAGTGCATTTACAATGTTGTGCAAATTATCACCTCTCTAGTTTCAGAACTTTTTTTATTACCCTAGAAAAACACCTCCCACCCTTTAAGTAATCAATCCCCACTACTACTGCCCCCCGCCACGTCCGCTCCTGGAAACCATTAATCTGCTTTCTGTCTCTATGGATTTGCCTATTCTGGAGGTTTCATATAAAAGAAATCATAAAATAGGTGACCTTCTGTGTCTGATTTCTTTCACATCATTTTTTTGAGACTCATCCAAGTAGCATGTATGGGTACTTCCTCCCTTTTTATGGCTGAATAATATTCCATTGTATGGATATAACACTTTGTTTATCCATTCATCTCTGGCTGGACATTTGGGCTATTTCCACCTTTTGGCTTTTATGAATAATGGTGCTGTAAACATTGTATACAAGTTTCTGTGTGGATATATGTTTTCATTTCTCTTGGGTATATACATAGGTATGGAATTGCAGGGTTTTATGGTAATTACTTGTTTAACTCAGGAACCACCAAACTGTTTTCCAGTGGCTGAACCATTTTACATTTCCACTAGCAATGTAAGAGCGTTCCAATTTCTCCACATCCTTGCCAACACTTTTCTGTATTTTTCATTAGAGCCAACATTTCAATAAATTGAGCTCAGTTGATTAATTATAAGCATTTTCCTATGTCATTAAAGATTCTTTGAAATGACCATTTGAATAGCCATTTCCCATCATTTTGTTTTACAATTTATTGAAATATTCATCGTACTGTTAGACACAGTTTTATCCAAATTTTCACTATTAATACTGCTACAATAAGTATTCTTGTATATAAATCTTTGTCCATTTTTCTGTTTACTTCTCTATTATCTAGAATATATTTTTAAGAGCGGAATTACTTGGTAAAATAGTATGAAACTTTTAAGCCTTTTGATAAATACTACCAAATTACTTCCCAGAAAGAGTCTATCAATTTCTGTCATAGAATTCAGAGTATATTATCTCTTTTAAAATATCTTTGTTAATATGATAAGCAAAAGTATCTTATTTTAAATTTGTACTTCACCAATGAAATGCACTTTTTTCAACTCTACTGTTCACTTGCATTTCTTTCAGGAATTATGCCTTTTATCCATATTTTTATTATTGTGTTTAGTGCTTTTCTTATTGATTTGTAAGGGTTAACATTATTTATGATAAGCTCAGTAAGGAAACAGAGGCCTTGATCAACACACCAACTAGACCTAACAGACATACACAGAGCATTCCACCCAACAGCAGCAGAATACACATTCTTCTCACGCACACATGGCACATTCTCCAGGATAGCCCACGTTAGGCAACAAAACAAGTCTGAAAAAATTTAAGAAGACTGAAATCATACTAAGTATGATCAATGTAAACTATGGACTTTGGGTGATAGTGATGTGTCAGTGTAGGTTCACTGATGTTGACAGTGGGACAAGCTGTGAGAGGGTAGGGGTAAGGTGTATGTATGTACTTTTTGCTCAATTTTGATGTGAGCCTAAAACTGTTCTAAAAAACAAGTCCTAAAACATTAATAACTGGTGTGCTAACATACTAAAAAATTATATCAGAGCACACCCAACAACACATCTGAATTCAGTGTTTTTATTAATAGGCAGAATATTCAATATTCAGTAAATATTCACTCATATCCTGAATGGTGGAAGCTTCCCCCCATCCTCCACCCCCTGCCTCCAAATTCCTTGTTATACCACAAGTTTGGGGCAATGAAACTGCCCAGTAAAAATGGAATACCACATGGGGAAAGCAAGGTCCTTTGTCCCCTCAAGCCCTTTTGGGAGCAGACCCACAAAGAGTATGCAGAAAAACAGTGGATCACTCTACGTGTTCACTTAAATCCAAACTCTTTTAGGAGAGATAAGACATATGAAAATGCTCAGAGGTCATCCAACCATTGAAATTTCTGTGTAACTGACAACTGGGTCATTCTGGAATAGGGCAGGGCAGGCAGGGCAGGGGGAAACACTCCACCATTAAGGGTGGTGCCATTTGAAAACGGACCGGCAATGCCACAGGTGTGAGCCCAGCAACATTATCTATACGTAGTAAATCAGGCTACCCATCAAGCTGCCCCGCTCTAAAGCTGAAGCTGTAGATTGGGTACAAGCAACCAGAGGAATCCGGAAACGTGCTCTAAGACTTAGGAAAATCCTAAGAAGTGGTTCACATGAGTCACGTGATATAATTTGCAGGTCCATACAAGAATTGGTAATAACTAAAGTTAGTAAGATAACCATACTCAAAGTGTCCTTCAGTTTTACGGCATATTATCTGTAGAACTCCAGCTGTGTGAGACAAGTAAAGTTACCATGTCCAGGTGTGACACTCTGAGGTCAGTTTACTTCTGTTATTCCAATAACACCAATAGTCATGGTGTGATCGCCCATCTGCCAGCATCAGAGTGTTCTCTACTAGTCCACACTGGTTCAACTCACTGGCTCAGCTTAGATTCCTGTTTGTTGACAATTCTGCAAAAATGAAATATCTTGATGTCTGGCTTAGCTTTTGGACAGCAGATGCAATGTTGGACTACTCCTCTGACAGAGGAAAAATCTGGACAATTCCAATATTGGGTCAAAAAACTGTGTTTATCAAATAAAGCCAATTAAGGTGTTAGTGTCCCTGAGAGGCCCTGGAGACCCCAGTTAACCAAAGTTGATGAAGAGGAATGTACCCCAGCATTATACGTCAGGAATTACATGAACCCAAGGTAAATATAGTGGACATATTAGAAACCAATGCAGCACTTATAAGTGGCATCCTCTGAGTTGCTGGATTGAAAAAAAGCCAGCAGCCTCGGTGGGACTCCATGTCACTAGAGTCCCATCGGAGAATGGAGTGACATCATTTTACTTGTCCTGTTGCCAACCCAGGTTCCCACCAGCCCCCTTTCTTCAACTTGTCTTGAATACAGGCCAGTTACAAGGATTCACTATTCTTAAGAATTGAACCTGTTTGTTTCTAATTGGCATGGAAGAATCGAGGAAATGGAGCATGTCTTGGGACCCTTGGACAGTCCTGCCTAGCAGTCCTAGACCTTGGCCCTTTGCCAGGCAGGGTTTCTATTTTTCTGGCAAAAATAGCCATGGCTAACTGCCACTAGGAGACCCCAACGCAGGCGGTTTAATTTCTAAGAGGTAACATAATTATATCGTAACAAGGAAAGGGAACAAAAATGTGAGATGCTATAGTCCTCATGACCTCACTTTGTGTCAAGATTTTTCTACGCTTGCTACTTTATAATCTCATCACTGAAAAACTAAGGCAGCATTTCACAGCAGCATGTGAAAGGGAAAGTGGTAGCTGGCGATCATCACTGCCGGCCACCTCAGGCATTTATGATGGAAGCAGAAACCAGCCTGTGGAAGTGGGAGTGGGCAGCACACATCTAGTACTGTTTATATTTTGAAACATTCAAGGAAGGAAACCTGAGGTGAGAAATGAAAATGTGCGCAGTTCTCCAACTTATTATACTCTCAAGTCAAAAATAAAAAGGGACTTTGGTAATAAACCCTTGACTCATGTGTCTCTTGGAGTTCTAAATCTTTCACTCACTACCTTATAAAATGACCCAATTAATAAATTAAGGTCCTGGCAAGGAAGAGGATACCTCCTGATCACTGGCCAAGAATAACCCAAGGAGACTCCTGCTTTTCCAAGTAAAAAACATTCAAGCTATCAAGGCAAATCTTGGGACATGAATCACAGTAATAAGTGAGACAACATGATTAGGTGAGCAAGAGGAGGAGTGTGTCTAGAACCCTCAACAGGCCCAACTTTAGAATGATGGGTGGGCTTTCCCTGTAGAAGCTCAATTACAGCCAGTGGCTACCACCCACAGGAAGGCAGAGGCCCAAATGAAAACATGCAGATACCCTATATTTTGTTGTGTTGTCCACAACTATGGGACTTCCTAAACGAGGATGCAGAGAGGAAAGCTAGAAATCAAATCTGTGTCCTTTATTCCACCAGTAGGCATATCCTGTAGGCATATGCATATTCTACCAGCATAGCCATGCTGAATCCTGTCTTAACAGGCTACTGGAAGGTTCCCTGGGCCAGAGGCAAACAACTACCTAGGCTCTGCTCTCCAGATGGATAGTAGGAGTGGGCAGCAGAGAGAAGCTGAACCTTGAGGCAGAGCCCCCAGCATGGAGAGTGAGCAAGTAGGACCACCCATGGAGGGGGCAGTGAGGGGCCTCGAAGGACCTATGTTGGGCATTGTGAGGTGAGAGGCCTTTCCGCCCAGCTCTCCATGTCCACAGCCACACCCAGGTTGAGGGTAGAGGTGAAGCTGCTGTTGTCCACTGTGATGCTAGATTCTTCTGGAGGTCCCTTTCCTTTTTCTGCTGTGGTGCAAGTCTGGGAGCAGGAACCATTCGTCAGAATGCAGAAGCCACTTGCTGGAGTCCCACCTTTTTGGAGATGAGCTATTTGGGGCTTCAGGAATGAGATGGAAGGAAGTGGAGAGGACGAGACAGGAGAGGAGGCGAGATAGGCTACCAGCCCAAGGACAGAGGCTGGGAGCCACGTGCAACAGGGCAGAGAAGTGTTAGTGGAATGGTGGGTGGGAGGCTGAAATACCTCTGGGCTCAGCTGCCACCAAAGATGGAAGAACTGAGGCAGAGATAACCGGCCACTTGCCCAGGAAACAGAACTCAGGCACCAAGTAAAAAGACCCCCATGCAGAACTGCCACCCTCTACCCCCAGCAGTCTCAGATGGCCTGCCCCAGACAGAACTCAGTGGCCAGGGAGGCAGGGCCTATTGTTGGGATATCACGGCAAGTGCCCAGTCCAAGAAAGCCACTGTGATGTCCTGTAGGCGGAGCCAGGTCCAGCGGGCAGCCTCACTGAGCTGTGTCTTCATGCAGTCCCAGGTCACCTCACCTCTGAAAGGAAAGCAGACAATTTGTCAGGGTTGGGGAGTAGTGGTGTGCAGCTGCGTCAAGTCATAGGGCTGCAGCTTAGACCCACAAACCGCATCCTGGAGGGACCAAGGGATGAGCAAGGGGCAGGGCAGAGGGAGAGACTGAACAGAGGAGACTCGTCCCTGGAGAAAGGGCGTGGGGCCACTGGAGCTCCTGTAGGAGCCCTGAGTGAGGGTCTCACCTGCACGCCTCGTGGCAGTGCTCCTGGGCCCGGGCCAGGGTCTCAAGCAGCATGTGCCACAATGGCAGCAGCACGTTCTGGTAGAGAAGCAGGAGCAGCTCCCTTAGAGAATGGAGCAGCTGGTTCAGGGCATCAGGGAGCTGGATCTGTAGTGGGACCATGGAGAATGGATGGGGTTAGAAGGCCCAGGGAATGAATACTGGCCCTGAGGACCCAGTACACGTGGGGTTGTACCTTCCCAAGAACTCAGCCCCTGGGAAGACTAGACCTTCTCTGACCTCCTTGTCTCTGGCTTACCCTCTGGGAAAGGCTGGTGAGGCTGTCACTGAACCAGGCAAGGTGGGAGGTACAGTGGGCAGAAAGAAAGCTGACTATGGCATTGGTGCGGGCCCAGGCCACCTGCAAGCTGGGCCTCACCACGGTCAGCAGGTGGGAGCCCCAGGCTAGCACTGTCTCCTCTAGCCAGCTGTAGGAGAAGACAGAGGTGAGAAAGGATGGCTCTGAGTTTCCTCAGGCAGCTTGGCTCCCCAAGAATACTTGGGGGAAGGGAGGCCTTGGGAAAGGAAAACCACAATCACTTCCCACTGATTGTCAATGCTGTGACTACCCTGAACACCCAAGCCCGCCCTCTCACACCTCCCCTCTCCTTCCCCCGGGAGGTGCTCACCTGTAGCCTTGCAAGCTGTAGGAGTAGATCTTGGCACACGCTTGTTGGCCAGCAGGCAAGAAACCAGATGACTGAAGCAACCGGCCAGAAATGGAGGCTGAGTAAAGGGGGCCTCTGGTGAGCTGGGAGGTGAGGGGGCAGGGACTGGGGAGACAGACACTACAGGCCCCAGAGCAGGCCTGTTAGGGAGGCCGGGGCAGAACCGCATGTGCTCACAGGGCCTCAGAGCTGGCTCCAGTCTGCTCTAAGCACTCTTAGAGGGAGGGAAGCAGGCCCAGAGAGCTGCGCCCATTTCTCCTGCTGGGCCAGGTGAGCAAGACTGCTGCAGCCAGGTGGACTTCGGCGTCAGAAAGCCCTGGGTTTGAGAGTCTGCCCTTCTACTTACCAGTTCTGATCTTAAGCTAATTGGTAAATCTTTCTGAGCCTCGATTTCCTCAGGAGGTAAAAAGGAGATAACACCTACTCAAATGAGACCATGAATATACAAGCATTTCTATACTGCAGAGCACTAGTCAGATCTGAAGTGGTAATGTCATAGCTGTGGGCAGAAAAATCTGTCTGAAAAGTGTTTGTTCTGCAGCATCAGGGCAAAGCTGTGTGTGTCGGGGGCAGGGTGCCCCACCCCCATGCTATCTTCTTTGCCTGCCTATCGCTGCTTACCCTGGAAAGAGCTGTGTGACCGGAAGTCGTGGCACAGAAAACCTATGGCAAAGACCAGCATCAACAGGAGTAACCGTGTCCAGGGCAGCCGGCAGCCCCGTGCCTCCTGCAACAGAGTCTAGGAGGAGAGGGGGCAGGAAGCAGTGGTTAGAAGGGAGAGGGGCTGGTCCTCACCTCCTAGGCAGGCCTCAAGCTAGGCCTTCCATGAAGAGGAACAAGCCCTTACATTACCTCAGAGGTAGTGGGGGTTCCAGGGACAGGTGGGGCAGGAATGTGATAAAGGCCCAAACCAGGGTGTGCTGAGACAGAGATGCAGAGCAGTGTGTGGGCTGGGGAGGGCTGGGTGTCAGCACCTTGCAGGCCACATCACAGCTGGCGACATCCTGGTTGTTACAGCTACCCTTCCTTAGCAGGTCCTGGTTGGTAAGCTTGAAGGACTGAATGGTTTCTTGCAAAGACTTCTGCGTCTATAGGATAAGAAAAGTCTGGGTTGAGAACATAAGATTTGGCCCTGAGGAAACCCTGAGCCTCCATCCTGCTTCATTTTCCATGCCAAAAGCACTAACAGAACACCTTCTCAGAGAAGGGGGACAGTGGCTGAGGGGTACAAACCCAGCACCCAGACCAGACTCAGCCTGCTAGCTCCTCACCTTCTTGGGAATCCGCTCCCAGGACCTGAGCAAGTGCTCCAGTAGCAGGCTGTGGGGAAAGCACAACCCCTTCCAGTTAGGGGGCCCACTTGGCCCCTCCCATCCTCCTGTTCTCCATTAGGCTCCAGCTCCTTCAGGCTGAAAGACTCTTCACCCCCCCCCCCAACAAAGGGACTGCTTCCTCGAGGCCATCAAGCAGTGTTCCCACTCAACTTGAGAGGCACAGGCCCAAACAACAGTGACAAATGTTCCCCTTCTGCTCCTAAGACAGGGACGGGCTGGAAAGCATGAACTAAGGCTTCTCTGTGTGAATCAGAGGCAGGTGACCCCCTCACCCCCACCTGCCTGGATTGTGACAGGTGCTTAGGGTACAGCTGCCTCCAGACACTGGCACTGAGGGGGTCGACCGTCAGGCACTCAGTCAGGCTGCTCAGGAGCTGCACAGGGTACAGGAGAAGGGAGAGACTGCTGGCGCACAGGGCTAGTGGAAGGGGCGAGTGCTGAGAAGGAATCCCCCTCCCCTCAGTGAGGCCACCCAAGCAACACATCCACCCTAAAGGGTAGAGAAATCATGCCCGGACCCCAGAAATCTCTGAGAGCCTGTAAAGGGGGAGGCTGGGGCTCCCAAGCTACATCTTGAGCTCAACGATCACTTATCTACAAGGGGCAGGACATCAGAGACCAGCCAGACCTGAACGTGCTGTCCCTTCAGCTCTGTTCTTCTGAGAGGAGAGCATGAGGGAGTGGGCTGTCAGGAGAGAGCTACAGGGATGCCCAGGAAACGGGTTCCTTGAAGGCAGGGCCTTTGTCAGTAGATAGGGACCTCTGCAGCAGACCCCTGGAAAGGCAAAAGGAGCCTCCCACCACTTCCTCACCTCTTTCTTCATCTCAGGAGGGCAGCTAGGGGTGGCTCTGGACAGGAAGGAGGGGAAGTAGGTATGCAGGGTGGATTCCGGCTTTGCCCCAAATGCCAGCACCTTCAGTCGGGGGTAGAGCTGACACAGCTGCTCCTGCAGGCTGTGGTGGGAGTGGGGAGGAGAGCCAGGCATAAGCTCTAACTGGAGGCATGTGCTGTGTCCCTTTTGCCTGCCTCAGAGTCCATGCCCTGCCCGAGGGTGGAAGTCACTAAGGGCCTTGTAATGGCTCTGAATCTTTTTAGACTCAGAGACTCCTTGGAAAATCTGCTGAAGGTCATGGATCCTCTCCCCAGGAAAATGCCCATATGCCAATCACACTCAAGGGTCCATATAATTTCAGGGGGTTCACTGATCCCTTGAACTTGCAGGTTGATAATCTCAGATCTAGGGTGGCCAGGGAAGAAGGGACAGGAATATATTGCCTGCTTCTAACCCTCCGCCGGGATCCCTCACAGCAGGTATGCCCCGGGGCAGCCCTACCTGGGTGTCAGGGAGTTGTTGGGCATATAGGCAAAGTCCAGAAGTGGGAAGAAGTCCTTGGGGCCAATCATGCCAAAGCCCTTGGTGAGGTTGGGGTGCATCCTGTGGGGGAAGAAAGAAACAGGTTTGATGGTGACCACCACCCAGGCCATGATCCCAGCTAAGACCAATATCCAGGAAAAAGGGCATAAACTCTACCCTATCCCCACCCTTTAATGGCTCCCTCCCTTTCCTTCATCATGACATTCTGAGTTGGGAGGAGTGGTCCTAATTTTCCTCACATCTACGGAGACCAGGATCACAGCATCCCATTTTGCTGAAACAGCCACTTGTAGCACCCCCAGGCCTTCCCCTTGATGTCCCCCCCATTACTCACAGGAGCAGCCGATCCAGGTATGCAATGGCAAAGGGAGACAGAGACTTGATGCCTAGCACAGGCAGCATGATCCCCAGCCACACTGTGGAGACAAAGGTCAGGGAGAAAGCCTCAGGCTTGGACTCCCTGGGACATCAAATAGGAGCTTCCTGGCTCCGAGACCATCCCTCTTTCTTCCCCATTTCTTTGTTACCTTTCAGTCCCTCAGTGAGGTTGGCAAAACCTGCTTGACCCAGGGCCCACATGATGGTCAGACACTTTGCTGGTCGGCTTTGGTGGGACCTCAGAAGTTCCAGGAACTGAGAAGACCAGTGGGGGAGGCAGGTTGGGACAGGGCAAGGCACTAGGAGCAGCCCCAAAGCCAGGTAGGAAGAGAGATGTCAACTGGGAGAGAGGGACAGGCCGAGGGACAGTGGAGCACTATGGTAGTACAGTATAGTGATTCAGAGCATGGGCTCTGGCACCAGACTGTGGCCTTCGCCCATACTTGCCACTTACTAGTTGACTGACTCTAGGAAAGCTACTGAACCCCTCTGTGGTTCATTCTTCTCATCTATAAAATGGGAATAACAGGAGTACCTGCCTCGCGTACATACAAAGCAGACACACAGCAAGCACTAATAGCGTTAGCTATTTTTACTGGTCTTACAGGGTCTTCCACTATCCCTTAATTGGGTCCAACAGTGTAGATTCTACCCAGCCTCCCCAGCCCTGGAAGCCTGGTGTCCCCACCACCACCCTGAGCTCACCTTGCCCAGGTTCATGGTGGCAATCCTGGGCTTGTCTTGCAGAATTGCCTGGATACAGATGCGGTAACCGTGTAGTGACTCCCCTGGAGAGATACATGTTCTCAGACCTACACACACCACTCAGCGTCCCAAACCTGAAATCTCCCTTTTGGCAGCTATGAGCCCAGAACCCAGGCCCAGTGAGTCCTAACCTCCTCCTCCCTTTCCAACAGAGTGTTGGAATTAGCACATTTTTCTGCTGGAAACAGAACCACCCAGCCACTCTGGAAGCAGGAAAAAGGGAGTGGGCTCCCCAGATGGGGCTGGGCTATCCCTGACAGGCCCTTCTCACCTGGCGTCTTATCCAGCTCTTGCAGCATGGTGAACAGACAGTGGTCAAAAAAGAGCTCCAGAGACCCCGGTGCCTTTGCCAGTAGCCCTCGGATGATCCCGCGCAGCTCTCGGCTCACCAGGCTGTAGGGATAATCTGGGGCCATAGGCCTCCACATAAGTGCTAGGACCAGAAGCTTCTGCCAGCTCTGACAGCACTGGTGCTCTCCCTGAGAACGATGAGCAGAGGCAGAGGTCCCTGCAGTGAGGCTGGCATCCTGCCTATCCCAAGGAGGCCCAGAAACCTTCACAGCTGTGATGATTTGAGAACAGCTCAAATCACTCACATAAAATAGGACAGTGGTGGGCATTGGGCTCTGTTACTAAGTAATGAGCTTACACACAGCCCTTTCAGAATTTTCTTGAACTTGTCTGAGCTTGAGGAATTTGGGGAACTAACCGTGAGTATGCTGGCTTAGTGTGGGTTCACTTAGAGGTGCTTGGAGCTTGTAGTTGAGATAACTGGCTAGGTCTTTCAACCACACGGATGGGTTCCCAGAGAACACGCTCTGGCTCTTGTCCAGTTCCTTCTGCAGAGCTGCCACGTCCAGCTGCCAGGGACACAGGCCCCTCACGGTGAGTTGTGAGTTAGCATAGGGAAAGAGGGTAGAGGTGGGAAAATGATGCAACGAGGTGGTGGTAGGAAGAACAAAGGGCTTCTGCTTTTAAACCTAAGTACTCTATGGACTACCACAATTTTGCTACATCTAGATCTTTACGAAATATAGAATAGGACAGCTGGAATTGCTGATCTCAAGGCCCAATACCCTTAGGCCCTTCAAATGTTCAAGGGGAAAACCAAAGGACAAGATAGGAAATGAAAGATCACTTTTCCCATGGGGCAATGAACCAGTTTCTCTAACCCCTCCCTGCTATCCCTGGGTTTTCAAGGCTCTCCTCTCACTAATCTGCTTCCCTGTGAACTTATTTCCTATCTATCCTAAGCGCAAATGTACTATCCCTTGGGGTTTCCATCCTTTCCTGAACGCCTCCTCTCAACCAACAGTGTTCCAAATTCCACAGGTCTGTGAGCTGCCCGTCCCCGTCCCACTCCTTTCATCTTCTCTACACCTCAAGGCCTTGTTCTTTCCCACCTAAAGTACAGGCACACTCACAGCTTTCAGTGCCTCCTCCAGGCTGCGGAAGCGGCCGTGCTTCTGGTTTTGGTTGGTGACAGTCGCCACCTTCTTAGTCTGCTTCTTGTTCCCTGGTTTCTTAGGCTCCACAGCAGGGGGTGGGACCTGCTCCTTATTCTGCCGCTTCATGATTCTCTCAAAGCCCCGCTCATAAAGGGTGCTTGTCGTCTGGATTGGAGCTGGGGTAACGATAGGCAGAGAAAGGGGGCCATCCTTGAGTCATGAGGGCCTCACAGGAAGGGTAGTCCCTTCCCCCTCACTGTCACCTAATTCAACTCCAGGGAGGAATCTGCCTCAAAGCCCTTTCTTGCTGTCCTGCTTATGGAGCAGGGCCGGTGGCCCTCCTGGTTGCTTCTTTCAGTCATCACAGCTCTTGAGTTCATGGGCTCTTTCACAGATATGAGGCATTTCTTTATTAGTACATCAGAGTATGTCAGAACTAGTGGAGAGGTCTCATACAGAGGGCTGGCTTCTTTGGTGAGTGGTTACTGGTCTGGGAGGTCTGGATTTCTCCATCTTGGTTCTACCCCAGTTCCTCCTGGTTCAGATGTGACAACTCTATAAGCAACAAGTGGCAAGCTTTCTCCTGAGAGAGCCTCTGAGCAAACAGGCGCCACTTAGAATAATACCTGGTGGGTGTCGGGAGTGTGTGGTGGGTCATTTCTCCCACTGCTGGGTCTCCTGTCCGCCTCCCTTCCTGCTGGTTACTTAAGGAGGGGGCACCGTGTATAATGAACCAGGATGCCTCTTCCCAGCTCTCAGACACCTGCCCAGAGAGGCCAGGCTAGGGCCCGGGGACAGCTGGTAGAGTGTGCGGCTGTGAGCTGAGCATCCGAAGGCCGGAATCCTAGTCCTCTCTGACATGTGATCCTGGGAAAGGCATCTCACTTCACTGGGCCTCAGCTTACTCATCTGCGAGGCGAAGACAGCAACCTCCCTGGCGCTGTCTTCCTCTTGTGAGGCTCAAAGAGACACCGCGAAGGTAGCGCAGCTGAACTGGGAGGTACTGATCGGCAGGAGAGCTCGCGCCTCGAGGAGCGGGGGGTGCTCTGACTCTCTGGGCTCGGGCAGCTGCTCGCTCCCACCTGAAGGGGCAGGCCCGGGGTCGGGCGGCGGCGCTAGCGGCGGGCCGGTGGGTACTCACGGGTCAGGTCGTATTTCCACACTCCGTTCGCCTCCCCGAGCGCCCGGCGGTCCCCTCCGCCGCCTCTACCACTGCCGCCGGCCCCAGGCCGCCGCCCCCTCTTCACCACCTCCCAGCGCCCCCCACCCGCCGCCCTGGCCGCCATGGCTCCGACCCTCCCGCCAGTGCCACCTCCCTAGCCTTTCCGGTTCGGTGCGGTGGCGCCGCACTCTGCCACGTCTCCTCGCAGGGACTCGCGGCGCGTGACGCCACCCGCAAGGCAGCCTGGGACTTGTAGTCTTCCGTTTTTGCCAGGTTATAGCTAGCGACGAGTCGGAGCCTTAGTAGCAAAAAACATGCAGGCAAGGATGTTGAGATGAGAGGCTATTACATTCTGAAAACTTTTATTGAACACCTACTGCGTGAAGGCCACTGCACTGGGTGACTTCGTGGAAAAACTTTCAGTTTTTCTTTTTTTCTAGTAGTGCTAGAAGGATGAAACGGGAGTAGTTCTCCTTACCTCTGGGGAGAGTTTGAAGATTAAATGCTTCCTTCCTATTAGGAAAGTGCTAGTTTTTGTGTCGCTAGTGAGTAAACTTTGGGTGTAATGGGCTATAAAAATCTATCGTGAAAGAACAAGGAAGGGGGGCCAGCCCCATGGCTTAGCGGTTAAGTGTGCGCGCTCCGCTGCTGGGGGCCCAGGGTTTGGATCCCAGGCGCGCACGAACGCGCCGCTTGCCAGGCCGTGCTGTGGTGGCGTCCCATATAAAGTGGAGGAAGATAGGCACAGATGTTAGCTCAGGGCCAGTCTTCCTCAGCAAAAAGAGGAGGATTGGCATGGATGTTAGCTCAGGGCTGACCTTCCTCACAAGAAAAAAAAAAGAACAAGGAAGAGAATGGAACTTGAGGGAAGAGGCAGGGTTTGGAGGGCAGGGAGTGGAGAGTGGGGAGTCCTGATAGGAGGCAGAGAAAAGTCTGGGGTCTGGGACAGCCAGCGCTGTGTTTCCCCTTCCAGGCAATGGGAAAGAAATGGCTCTGGCTCCCACTGCAAGTGTCAGTCCCAAGTCCCAGATGTGGCAGGGAAGTGATCAAGAGCCCCAGACTTGAGGAACCACTCAAACAGGTTACTGTTCAGACATTCACTATCCCTGGAGGGCCTTCCACTATGCTTGTAGTACCACGTGAGACCTCAAAACGTGAAGCATCCCAGCAGGGGAAGATACAATGAAAGAGAAGGTGAAATGAAAGTAATTTATCACAATTAAGGAAATGTGCTATTTTGTGTACTCTCCTCCATTTGAGGATGAAATTCACACCTGCCCTGCTGACGTACAAGACAGGCAAGCCCTTATAGTAAGAACTAATAAAGTCCAAATTCCTACAGGATGAACGGCTTAGAGAGTGATGAATTCCTTAGGCAGGAGATTAGAGAAGGCTTCCTAAAGGAGATGGTATTTGAGATAAGTCGTGAGGAATGGGGGTATTTTCATTGGTTAGGGATCAGGACAGGTGGAGAGAATAGGCCAGTTGTACGGATTTATTGATTTAGGTAAAGACCTAGAGGTGGAACACGGTGGGGCAAGGCTGGGAAACTGGAAGTAGTTCAATGTGACAGTGCTTAATGGGATTTTGGAGGTGATGAGATTGGAAAGGGATCTGAGTCACTATGCCATGGGCCTTACCTGCCAAATTTGGACTTTATCCTGCAGACCCTGGGAAGCCAGTGGGAAAATGGCATGATCTAATATTTTGGAAAGGTAAATGGGGATATGTGAAGGAAGGGTTGGGGTGGGGGAAAGGCAGGAGGTGGGAGATGACCAGCTCTTGTTGCTTCCTTCGCCTCTCCTCCAGCCCCGTCAGGCCTGACCATGGCTGACTTTGCCTCAGGTAGCTCTGAGATGGAGCGCTTTTGCCAAGGACCATATCTGAGCTGATCATTAATCAATTCATTTTTCAGATCATTGGTTTAGCTCTACTCAGAGTCAAATAGCAATATCCCCTCTTTGCTCCACCCCTTCTGTGTCACATGTATGGTCAGAGAAGACATTGTTTTTGGAAGAGAAACAGAATGGGCCTTCCATAGAAGCAAAGGAGGGGGCTGCTCCATGGTGGAGACACATAGAAGGGTGGAGAGGGGCTTTCTTTCCTATCTTTCTTTAGAATAGTCTGGCAGGCTATCTGTTGTAACTTGGAATCGAGGGGATAGAAGTCATTCACTTGCTTTTCCTGCAGCATTTCCTAAGCATCTTCTCTACCTAAGCACCTAGCACTGTGCTAGATGGAGGTGGAGGATACATCTCACTTGCTTGCGAGGAACTCAGAGCTTGTGTGGGAGACAAGTATGTAAACAGAAAATTACAGTTCACCATCTTAAGTGTTCCATGAGAAAGACACACTTAGTTTGAAGTACTGGGAAGAGGTGGGGGAGGAGGCAGTGCCTTTACACCCTTGAGCTCTGGGTGTTTGAAGAGCCGCCTTGGACACTAGCCATGGAGGTGGGCTTGGGCAGGTAACCACATGGGGGTTGAGGGAAGAATCAAAGGATGTTGGGTCAAGGGGAACAGGTTGGTGTCTGTGTGGGGCTAAGAAGAAGGGGGAGCTCACTGGCACACTGTTTGAACCACTGTATTAGTTTTCTATTGCTGCTGTAACAAATTACCACAAACTTAGTGGCTTAAAACAACACAAATTTGGGGCCAGTCCCGTGGCTTAGCGGTTAAGTGCGCACGCTCCGCTACTGGCGGCCTGGGTCCAGATCCCAGGTGCGCACCGATGCACCGCTTGTCCAGCCATGCTGAGGCGGCGTCCCACATACAGCAACTAGAAGGATGTGCAGCTATGACATACAACTATCTACTGTGGCCTTGGGGAGAAAAAGGGGGAAAAAAAAAGGAGAAGGATTGGCAATAGATGTTAGCTCAGGGCCGGTCTTCCTCAGCAAAAAAAAGGAGGATTGGCATGGATGTTAGCTCACGGCTGATCTTCCTCACACACAAAAAAACACAAATTATCTTACAGTTCTGGAAGGAGCAAGTCTGACACGGGTCTCATTGGGCTAAAATAGGTGTCTGTAGCTTGTGTTCCTTTCTGGAGAATCTAGGGGAGAATCTGTTTCCTTGCCTTTTTTAGCATCAAGGCTGCCTGCATTCCTGGGTTCATGGTCCCCTTCCATCTTCAAAGCCAGCAATAGCAGATCTAGTCTTTCTCACATTGCATCACTCTGACCTCCTCTTCTGCCCCTCCTTCCACTTTTGGGGACCCTTGTGATTACATTGGGTCCACCTGGATAACCCATGATCCTTCCTATTTTAAGGTCGACTGATTAGCAACTTAATTCCATCTGCAACCTTCATTCTCCTCTGCCATATAACCTAACATAGTCACGGGTTCCAGGGATTATGATATAGACATTTTTAGGGGGAGGCATTATTCTGCCTGCCACATTCACTGTACCAGTAAGGTGAGGTCTTGGCCTGAAGATAAACATTGGGCAGTGCAGAACAACTACCTTATTCTTTTATGATATCTACCTGGAATAATGGAGGAAAAGCCTTTTAAAATTAGATATAGGCATTAAAAATCATAAAGATAAATAAAAGCAGGCAAGGAACTTGTTTGAGGAGAAAAACAGAATAAGGCCACAAATATCTGTATGTGGGGGTGGGAGTCAAAAGTAGGAGGTGAAGTGAAAGAGGAATGAACAGACATGAGTTGCTCATTTAAGGCTTATATCTGGGGTCATTGGAGAAATGGTGGTGGTCTGGAAGGAGGGCCACAGAGCAGGGCCACAGAAGAAAAACAATGCCAACTGTATCTGGGTCACACTCAAAATGGCAAGGAAACATCTACCAGGGGTAGCCTGAAGCTAGAGGGACATTCTGGGGGTCACCTCTCTGTGGTCTTTGGGGATGAGCGCTGAACCATGAGTCAGGGAGTCTGAATTCTAGTCCAGGTTTTTACCACTTTGAGCGAGTCATGTCACATGTGGGCCTCAGTGCCTTCACCAGTAAGTGGGGGGGCTGCTCTAGACGACCGCCAAGGCTGTCTCAATGGGCCTGGTACTCATATTCACTTTAGCACCCCAGGTCCCTGTTGGGCTTCGAGGACGCTGGTTGTCATGGCTCTTTGTCAGGGCACACCCAGGAATGCAGGGCTGTGTGAATGATATGAGAGGCTTCCTGACTCCCCGTTCCCATCAGAGCTTGTTTTCTACAGAAGGCACCATGCAGACACTGCCGTCCTGGGCTTAAGCACTCAGAGCTGCGTGCTCTTTGTAAACCCACTCAGCTCTCTCTGTCACGAGCCCTTGTTCCCAGCTGGATCACTGCTGTGAGGTGTGTGAGCTGTGACGAGGGGTAGGGACAACATGCAGTCTAAGTGGCCCAAAGGAGACTGAAACTGCCTCTTGGCCAGGCCACTGTTAGCCCACAGCCACTTCACTGGGCTGCCTATCACCACAGCTGTGGCCCTGAACTTTGTTCCCCCTCGGGGAATGGGGGTCGGGGCTTCCTGCCTTCCCTTAGCGCCTCGGCACCGGTGCTGGGAGATGGAGCTAGGCCAGAGCTGGGCTCTGAGGCCAAGTGCCCATGGCATGGCGGTTCCTGGGCATGAGGGAGGATGGCAATGGTGCTGAGCTCCGTGGCTATCACCTCTGGAGAGGGGAACACTCAGGAGGAGAAAAGCATTGAGACCCAGGCTGTGGCTCAGTTTAGGGAGACATGGCATGGACTTTTACCACACAAGTTTATTTAAATAAAAGTGAACACATATGCAGGCTGGGTGGCCCGTTGGGGCAGGGGTTGGGGGGGCGGGCGGATGGGAGGCAGACGTACTGGAGGGTCCAGGCAGAGTCTGTGTGGTATGAACCAAGCTGCAGAGGGAATGGCTGGGGGCCTCGGGGCAGTGCTGGCTTCGGTGCTGGGGGCGGGGGGCCGAGGGTGGGTGAGCCTGGTGTCAGGAGGTCATTTTCATCCCTCGCATGCTCCCCTCCCTCTTCCTGACCACCGGGGCGTAAGGCACCCCCCTCCTCAGTCCCCCTCTCCCTCTCCTGACATCAGCTTTCCCCTCAACTACTGGGAAATTAAAAGACAAAATAAATAAGAATTGGTGAGTCCTGCCACGGCCCCCGGCAACAGGGAAGGGAAGCCAAGCCAGGCACACTGCCCCGGAGCCCGTGCTGTC